CCTTTATTACCCTTACTCTGCCACGTGTCGAACTGTAACTGGCTTTTACAAAATATGTAGCCAACAATATATATATAATTTAAGTAGATTACAAAACTATCCATAACAGTTTGGTTTAACTAAAAACAATCAGGCCTAAATTTGAATTTTTATCCATAAATTACACCTTAATCACTAAAATAGTTCAAATTTAAAAGTGGGCAAAAAATGTAAGTTTGGGAGCTAATCAATTACATTATTTTATACATAACTATACTTTTTTATTCATTTAGTGGATTGATTTTTATTTTTAAATTATAAAATATTTAAATAAAATTATTACAATTAAAAATTTAAAATAGAGGTCTATAATTCAAAGAATTGTTTTAGTGGCCTGAACCGAAAAAAGTTGTCCTAACATCAAGTGAATTTGGCCTGGTCCTGACAGTTTGTATTATCAAATACATGTGACTTTTAATTGTGTGTTCATTATAGTATAATACATTTAACATATAAATAATGTCCCGTTTGGTGTAACTGTTAAAATAGATTATAAATTATATCTTAACAGATTATAAATTATGACTTTCATCAGAAACTGTTAATCTATTTGGTGTAACTGTTAAATTATAGATTTAAGTTGTTAAGTAGTGTTTGTTAAATAAGCTGTGAAGTAACTTTTTCAATTAACTTTTATTTTTTATTATTCACTACTTATCTACATTTCTCATAAAAAATAATAATAATATTCTATAGCCCATTTGGGTCTTTTTCTATTTTTAAAAAAATAAAAAATAAAAAAATCTAAGAGTATAACCGTAAATTAATATGTCCACAGCAAAAGCTAATAATCAGAAGCAAAGGGTGAGCAGCTTCTTAGAATCAGTTTTTTTGACTTAAAATAAATTGTTAAAATCAGAAACTGTTTGAAATAAGTTTAACCAAACGGTCCAAAATAACTTTTCAAAAGCCATAAATTATAAGTTGGTTCAGAAAAGCCCAAACAAGCACCCTCAATTTATATGGCTTTTATTGTAAATACTATTTAAATACATGTACAATTTTGAAATAAATTATATGTTACTTCAAACAGTGAAAAAAAATATTCCTAAATTTATCAGTAACTTTTAAAATTTTATAAAAGTACCATTTAAAGTGTAGATTCTGTATAATTTTTTTAATGAATAAAGAAAAAAAAAAAGCCTATATTTTTTTATATAGATTATACAAATTATCATTTAGATAAAAGGTAAATTACAAATACATCCCTAAGGTTTGATTAAAATACGAATCGCCCCTCTGATTTTAAAAATTACATTCCAGGTTTCTAATTTCATAACAAATTTCTCCTTTTATTAATAAATCATCAAGTCAATTAACAATTTTTAATGATATTATAAATATGTTTCAATTAATAATTTAAGTAATTTTATTATTGTATATGAGAGCAATTATGAATTTTAATTTTTTAGTTAATTCTGTTAAATAAAAAATACTAACAATAAAGTATTTATAATTTTACAAATCACAATGGATAATTTATATTTTAAGTAAACCTCAGGGAGTGTATTTATAATTCACCCTTAGATAAATTATATATATACTTTTATCAGTAAATGCTCCAATATGATAAACATATTTACCTTAACTAATAAAATAGAAAGTGAAAGTTCTCTCAGAGTTATATGGTAAAAAAAAATACTTATATTTAATTACGTTATATATTAGTTTCTTAATTTTTTAACGTGGAACAATTAAAAAACATATATTAATTTAAAAATTAAAGGAAAAATTAGTCTTGGTGAAGTCGGACCGCTTTTAAGGTGGGCTGAATATTAGACTAGCCAAGCCAAAACACAAGTTTTAATTTTTATTACAATTTTTTACAAGTTCTACAAAAGGGTCAAAGGAGTAAAAGTTAATTGACACGCATGATTTGCTCTATCATTGGTTGAATTCTACCATAAAACAAAACAATAATAACATAATACATTTATGTTTTAATGTATGTATAGTTTTTGCAATTTATTCTATTTTTCTATTTTTTTTATTAATTATATTATAACACATTTTTTGTTATTTAATTCTTAAAACACACCATTAATGACAAGACCAACAAAAAAAAAAAAACTTAATTGTAATTGTAGTGAAAATAATTAAAATTTACTTGATTCTAAATTAGTTTTTTTCTACAATTTAAAAATATTTTTAAATTACTAGTATATAATATTAAGTTTTAATTATTTATATTAGCCCGTGCATAATGCTAGTTATTAAAATAAAAAATGACAGTCGAGTAAACAAGGCTCATTAAAACAAATTTAGAGACGGTAAACTATATGCAGCTTTATTCATATTATTATGAAAAAAAAAAATTGTGACTTGAACTCGTATCATCACGCTAACAACAAATCTTACTGTTAAGTTAAATTGATCTCTCATAATTGCTAGAACGCTTTAATATATTCCCAAACATATGTATGACCATGAATACCTCAGATATTGGGAATGATGCAAAGTGGTTGTTTCCTTACATGCACAAACAAATATGCTTGAGAAACTTGACCACACATAGAAAAAGCAAAGATTTTCCCAATCATACCCACATAACATGACTTAAAGTAGTAAATGCCTCTTTTTATATCCGAGACTTAGCTATAGTTACAGGATCCTCTTCTAAGATTGATTCAAAACAATATATATATATATATATATAGTGTTAATCAACGTCAAAAGACTATTATTATACTCAATATGTGAACAAATATATATATTAAAATGTATAAAATATGTTAAAATATTTAAAAATCTTAATTTTTTTTATTATTTTTCTTTTACAAATGATAGTCTATAGAATTGTCATTAACATGAATATATAATATATATATATATATATAAAGGAGAAACATGATGAATCTTTTCAAAGACTTTTATGCAAAGGAAGCTCACATAAGTGCCCTACAAATCTAGTGAAACAATTGATTGAAAGAAATATGCAGATTTTGACAAGAACCCATTAACATTTTTCTTCCTTTCTTTTTTTGTTTCTCTCTTTTCTTACTTGGTTCCATTCTCATTCTCATTCTCATTCTCATTCTCATTCTCACATAGTGTGTAATATATATATATATATATATATCAACTTGTTTGATCACTTTCTTCTATTCCACAGTTCTATTCTCTTCAATTAAAGGTAGGAAATGACAGCAGTAGAGAAACTTGGACCCACAAACCTTATGAAACTATAAGTCCAATTAGAGTGAATTACAGTGCTCCTATCATGGAGGTTAAGGTACATAATAATCTTTTCTTTTCTTTGCAATGATCTTGTTCTTATAATTTAACGGTCTAAATTTAAAATTAAAATTAAAATTAAAATAAAAACATCATTTTGAAATTGCAATTTAAAATAAGAATGTAGGACTAAATATTAGGGTTAATTATATTTTTAATCCTTGTAGTTTAACTTTTAAATTGAACAATTTATTCTCTACTTTAAATTTAGTTTCAATTTGGTTCTTTCGTTCAAGTTGGAGGTCAAAATAAATGACTTTGAGACATTTGTCAATTTGCTAAGATGTGAACATAGGAAAAATTAATAGAAATTTAGATGGAAAGGACAAATTGAAACTGAACTTAAAGTTTAAGAACCTGTGTTACTAGAAAAAAAAAAACGTTAATCTTCAGCAAATTACGTATTGGTATGCACGTTTTGAAACATGGTACACTTCCGCTCCAAAACGGTAAATTTAGTGATCCCAAGACCCCAAAAGTTTTTTCAATATATTTCCTTAAATGTAATCTTAAGAGGAAAAAAAATTAAACATAATGAATTAAAATCTAAGTGGAGTTATGTTTTGATAAGACAAAAACGTTAAAAATGAAAAAAGTAACAACACATTTTATTAGATGCCAAATAATTAAAAGAAAATTACTCTAAAAATATCTCAAATTTTTAAGTATAATACATACAAGTCTACTCCTATTGTACCACATTTTAGAGCATATGACATATCATGTTCTCGTTTCCGTTCCATGTACCGGAACGATTCACGTTCTAGGTAACATAGGTAAAAACTAAATTGTTCAAATTAAAATTATAAGGACCAAAGTGAAATTTGAATCAAACTACAAAGATGAAAAGTGTAATTAATCCTTAATATTATCTTGTTTTCATAACATAAACCCATTTTTCATTGGAGCACTTGTACATAATGTAATTGGTAGTTTTATATGGCCATGAACAAATATGGCGCTAGCTTTATTGGATCTACAAATGAATGGACTGGGCTTGGGCTCCAACTTGGGTTAGATGATATTAAAAGCCCGAACTAAAAATTTATTCTTGGGTTGGACTTGGGATAAAAAGCACAGCCCAAACATCACAGTCATGTTTGGTTTCAGTTTTTAAATTTCCATTTTTATTTTCGAGAACACTCATCTTTCTCAACCCTTTTTTGTGAGCAAATAAATTTTCCAAAATTAAAAAAATCATTTTAAATTTTTTTTAAATGATGTTTTTTTAGAAAATTCTATAAAATAAAATAAAAAGTTTGGCAAAAATATATATATATATATATATCGAAATTAAAATATAAAAATTGAAAACGATTCCAAACATATTGTGAAACTATGTTCAGATTTTATATTTATAAAAGAATGTTGAGTGAAAAAAGGATTTTAATAAATCAATCAAATCTACGAGACTGACCATGATCGTCCTGGGAAGAAAAAGATGGAGACTTTAAGATCTAAACACATCACACGATCTCTAACGTTGTGTTTGATTAAGGGTTTTGAGAAGAAATTTTAAAAAAAAAAAAGAAAAATAAGTGTGAAACTACGTAAACTATAAATACATTTTATTTACATTTCACATACATTTTTCCTTTTCATTTCCAAATCCCGTGCCAAATCTTCCAACCAAATACAGCATAATTGTTTTTAACTTCAATTTAACAAAATCACAAAAACAAAAACAAAAACCAAAACCAAAAAACAAACACTCACAAAACAGGATCAAGTGAGAAATTTCCCTGAATTTTATTGAAATAGTCCAAGGAACAAAAAATGCCACCATTGCTACAAAAAAATAATAAAGATCCCTAGCAAGGGAAGCTGCAGACTAAGAAATTAAAATAAAAGGGCAGTGGGAATACCCCACTTCACCTCTTAACAAATTAATTTGACTGTTAATAAAACGAATTTACATCGTAGTCCCTAACCCTAAACCCTAGCTTCTGGCTTGCAGGAAGGTTCTCCTGGCAAAAGACCGAAAACATCCCGGCCCTGAGAACCCCAAGAATCACCCATCGTGTGAATTGCCCCAATTTGAGGCCTGCACAAAAAAAATCAATTTTAGTCATCTAAGCTTGGTTAATCTTTGTCGCTACTCCCCGAATCAAATTTTTCAGTTTTATCGTGTTGTTAGAACCCCCAGTATTCAATCCAACCCTAGAATTGATGGGCCTCTGACTTTAAACCGCTTTGGTCCAATCTCTACAGGGGGTGGATCTCTCATCGGCCTTCCCAAGTCATGGTCGAGCCTATTATCTCTGTGGTGTTCTCTGTGTCTACTTGCTGCTTCCTCATTGACCATCCTCTTAAACTTACTTGAGATGGGAACGGTCGTTCCTCTGGCAAACCTATCCCCCCTCAAAGCACCATCCGAAGTTTCTTTATGACGGATTAAATCATCAGCTGTTGAACACTCTGCCGACCTCAATTGCCCACATCTTCCCTCGGGTTGGAGTTTCTTTAATCGCTTAAGTCCCTGTGGAAATACATACAACTCAGGTTAATTCAACTAATGAGGCACTAATACAAGATTTATACTAGCACGAGAAAATTTGTGGACATGGTCAAGGTAATATTGTTGAAGCAATTGTGAAATCACACGATGCTGAACGACAAATTATGCTTTCACAATAATTGTTAAATGATTCTATACGTATCATACAGGAAAGGTTGATAGATACTGTAAAAAGGGCCAAAGGTTAGTAAAAGCATAGGAAAATAGCCTCAATTATTGGTCCTATTTTCTTGTTTATGACATACCATATATTGCAGCAACACGTCTACAGGAAACATCACTAATGTAGGTTTCAGAGGTGTCGAGGCTTTAAGACACATGCCAGTTGTCAAAAATGTAAACACCCATTCTATATTTTAAACAAAATTAGAACTTTTGATCAAATATTATAGAGCCTTTAAAGTCAATGTCGACTTTCTGAAAGCGCATCCCTCCTTTCCCTTTCGCAACTTTAGTGGTCTTTGTCTCACAAATCACCAAAAAAATTAAATCTTTCCTTGATCTTAGCAATAAAGGATGAGAAAAGTATTCTCCCTCACTACCTTCGGTTATGCTTTTCACATACACCAAGATTGATTTGATTTGTGGAATCAACTAAAATCTGCCCTAGTATGTGGCACAAATAGGTATTCAAACTCGGTGACTGAACACTATCTTCCGCTCCATTCCCACAAAATGCCTAGTAAACTTGAAATACAGTTAGGATATACAACCATTGACTCTCAACATAATTTACTTTGAAGTTCAACTCTAAAAACCGCAAGAGTAGCAACCAATGTTCTCTAAACAGGTCATACTCATATCTTTAACACTATTCAAGATGCACAAATTATAATCCAGTTCCAAACATTGATTTCCCTCAACTAAGCAATCTAATTTTCCCATATCAGCAACGTCGTAACCCACAACACAAAATTCTACTTTCAGGAATATCTCATTTATACAAAACACTACAAAAACAGAGAAACCAATCTACAGAACTCAATTTTCCTCAAACAAGAGCCCCTATCTTCACACATTAGCACCATGGTGGCCCCCACAACCACAAGGTAATGATATACTATATTCTCAGTGAGCTCTTGAACCTAAAACTTTTTAAGTGGATAAGCCTGGTTCTTCTTTAAGCAGATAAAGTAGATTCTTTCTGCAGATGAAACTGAATCTCTCTTAGCTTTTAACTCTATTCCATCTTAACCCATTTTTTCCACCTCAAATAACACTAAAGATTAGGAGGAGCATACTTTGCACCCACTATGTAGAGTTCCTAGAGAGAGAGAGAGAATATAATTTAAAAAAGGACATAAATAAATACACACACACACACACACACAAAGGAAGCCAATTATATTCTAATCTCTCATCTACCTTGCGGATGCCACATGAAGTCAGAATTGATGTGAAACAAAAGCATAAAATGTGGTTCAGAGACACCAAGGGAAATCGAAAGTAACAGGCAACTTGGAAGCAAATCATAAGTTTAATAGAAGACCCAAAAGAGCAATAATAAAACTAACATTAAAAATAAAAATAATAAAATGAAGGTCAACAATGATACACCAAGCCGAAACAGAAACTTTTGTTAAATAATTAAAGAAAGCATTGAATACATGGCCTCAGAAGCAATGAGAAGTAGGACTAAGAAGTGCATGGTTTTTTTTTAGGTTTCCCTAGCACTTTCAAAACATTACCCCCAGAGTTATCAAAACATTTCAGATATGATTTCCAGTCCCAAAATTTTAAAATGCCTTTGTCACAGCAGCTAAAGCAAGTTTCCTCGTAAACTAATTTCCCCCTAGACCAAATTTTCCTAGAATCTATAAATAGACAAACTACTATTTAAAGTTACGCAGTTTTTAATAGGAAGCTTTCATCATTATTTCTTCATTTTAAAAACTCTTTTCTTGTTCAAAATTAATTATCACTTAAAGACTAATAACAGTTAGCATCAGTATGTTTCCAATAAATTTGCTCATTAAAGATTCTCAACTCTCCTACTGAATTTGTGAGTTCATGGGCCTAAAGTAAATTCATAGAGTTTAACTGGGATGAAAACAGTGATATTCGTCTTTCTTTTGCGCAGTCCACCATGTCAATTCGTATAAAGCTATAAGACCAACAAAGTTATTCAAGCCTTCAACTCATAATGAGCCTCCTTAACTCATCAGAAGTCCTTCAAATATGATCAAGCAAGCTTTATTTCACCCTTGAGAGTCCTCTTTTCCGCAATGAACTATAAGTCAACTATGTAACTTCAGAGCATTCTAAGAGTGCCATACAAACCAAGATACCCAACTTTACATCATATCAGCCAGAATAGAATACAATCTACAGGTGAGGCAAGTTGAAACAGCAAACAATTCTAATGGCAACATCAAGAACATTTATCATTTCTCTCCCATGAAGGCACTATTTTATAATGTACATAGCAGCCCTACAAATTTGAGCAAACATTCAAATATCCAATTTGACATTCATTTGTGAAGGTACCCCATGTAGGTTATCATCTCAACAGGTCTTCCTCCACAAAACAGATGTTGTCTGTGGAAAATATTGACCTGAGGCCTTTAATTACATATTTGTAGCTACTTTACCAACTATGCAATTCCACTGCTATGATTGCAGGAAAGAGTTTGGGTGCACATGAATTACAAAAACACAAAAAAGAACTCAAATTGCTCAAGGGGCTTTGCAGTTTTCCTATTTGTAAATTAGGTAAACTAATAAAGATATCAGAGATCTAAACACAATTGATAACTTGTATAGCTTTGATCTCACAAGGTTGAATTTCGCAAATTGAAAATTAAATGGAGATATTGAAGTTTGCATATTTCTCCATGGATGCACCTATATAGTCACACCTAAGGAAAAGCTCTAGAATGTTAGATTTTGAGATCAACAGCCAAACTTGAACCTAAGTTGCACTTTTCAAGTGGAATAAAGGCATTATACTGCAAACTATAAGGACTTACTTTAACCACTAAAAAAGGAATCTTATTTTAAGGAGTATATAGATCTAGTTTCTTAATTTTAGAACATTTCTAAATGCTAGTATGGAATTATATATAAAGCTTAGGATTTTAAAGTCAAAACTATCTCTAATTTTTTAAAGTTTCCTCTCAATTCTAGCAGTGGATTCAGGTACTCTTACCTTTCTCATCACTAGGACCGCAACTTGAGAAGTTGGGATAGGTTAAAGTCCAACCCATGCTTAGCCCAATCCATGAAACCACATGCCCAAAGTCCAACCTAGAAAAGAACAGGCTAAAATTTAACATGTCACAAAAAGAATGGATAGCCTAAAACCATCCTAGTCCATTCTCACAATGACAAGAACCAGCCCATAATGCCATCATTCCTTGGTATAAAAGCAACATAATGCCGTCATTGAGAATTATGGTTGAAAACAAATTAAAATATAAAAAAGTAGGCATTGCTCATCCAATGGCTAAGAATTCATAGTTAAGTTTGTAACATATTATTATTAATTAATTAGAGGCAAATATGCAAAAACCAAACACCAACATGCTTATAAATATAGGAAATATAACTGTCAAATATACCTGATGTTCAAGGTTTGGAGAGATGGTATCATTCACATTTCTTTGTTCCACTTTCACATAAGAACGACGTTTAACCCTGAATATCTCTGAATCAGACTCATCACTGACCTGATCTAGAACAGGCCTAACATCTAACCCTCGAAGATTACATTGACGGGTGCCCAAGTATGCATCACTGGTAGAAGATTGTAAAGATTCAATATTGCGAGGTATATCTTCAGAAAACTTTTTAGATTCAAGATCTCCTACACTGAAGTTAGCATAACCCTGTCCCTGCCGGAAATATGGGAAAACAGATAATTATGCTTTGGCACAACTCCAGATTTTTATGTATTATTGCCATAATCATGAAGCATAGACGGCTGATATTATATAGCATACAACATGATGACAAAAATGAAGCCAAATACTAACGAAAGCTCTAAATCTTACATTGTTAGGTGCAGAAATGTTTGCCGCTGGCTCAGGAAAAGAATGAAGTGTTGGTGCAGCAGAAGAAAGAGAAGCATCCGATGCTTCAGTTCCTAAATTTTCTGCACCAACACTCAACATAGTCCAGCTGTGAGAACCAAGCACTGGCTGTTGGATCTGATTCTGTGTTTTGACAATCTCTGGAATCAGATCAAAGTTTATTTTGCAATAAGGAGTGTATCCATCATCTTCAGCAGTTGGGAACTTGTTTAATAGAAGAAACGAGTCATCACCACTTCTACATTGTTGTTGAGACTCTGTCAATATATCCTCTTCCTGCTCAAATTTCTTGGCTACAGCTTCCATATCAAAAATATCTTCCCTCAAACACAGCGTATGATCGCCACCACAAGGGAAGTCAAACAACTTAATCTCTGGATTTATACAATCAATCAGCATAATTCAGTATCAAAACAAAAAGGCACCATTTCAAGAAATTAGACAAAAGCAACATATTGAACCAAGTGCCAACATACCATGGCGAAGGCATACGGGATGCAAGCAACACTTGCAATTAAGGTACGCTACATAGCAATCACGTTTGCATAGACTGCAGAGAATAGTTCCATGGGAAATTGGAGAAACACCAGTGTATGTCCTTGTTTTCATTAAACACCAACGAGCACGGTGCTGGAATCTCATCAAATTAACATAAGAAACCTTAATGCTACGGTGACAGTTCAAGTCTGCAGATGAATAGTCTGGATCTCTAATTTCCAAACTCATGTGAAGCAGCATTGCTTCTTTGCAAAGGAGTTCCTCATGAGGAAGGAGAGGTATCCGGTTAAGAAGGGCATAACGTCGGCTAGCAATTGACCCCAAAGGGAACCAATCACCAATCGCAAAGTTTACTGCTTCACCACAATTAAAACCTGGAAGAATTAAGAAAATGAGTGGTTGAAGTGATACAATGCTCATATGGTATAAATGCGGGGAAAAAGGAGAAAGAAAAGAAAAGGAAGAAGAGTAAAGGGCGAGGGTGAGGAAGAGGAAGAGGAAAAGGAAGAGGACGGGGAAAAAAATAAGGCACAGCAAGAATGAAAAAATACTTCATGGAATAACCATCAATAATTTTCTAGTTTATTCCTTCTCTGAAGAACATGTTTATTCAAAAGAAGAACTTCTTACCATGACTGAATCCTGCATGATATGCTCTAGGGAAAGTTATTACAAATTCCCCAGGCTTTTGCACAGCCTTGTAGACAGGGACATCATGTTCTAGCAAAATATTTGGAGGAAACAAAGTTGTTTTCCCCAGAAGGACATCAAATGCCCCATCCTCTCCATCAGTTGCTAGTATATCATGAGTATAAACATTCTCCCGAACAACCTTTTCAAAACCTAAAGCTGCATGACCAGGAACACCATACCAAGTTTTTGTCGCCCCACAATGATGATAGTTGATACTGCAAGGATATAAGATAACTCAGCAAAATAAAATAAACCTTGGGAGATATACCATTTATGTGATATATACCTAAACAAGTAGTGATCCTCCACATGCCAAGCAAACGTACTAAATAGCATTCCAATGTAAAGCATTGGTTCAGTAACTCCCTGAAAAATGAACCCAACACTGATTAGAAACAGAAGCAAGAAAGCAGACAAAAAAGGAATTTCAAATCAAGGGAAAAAAAAATTCTTTAGTACCGGAATTGTGGTTTCTAGAAGACGTAATATAGACTTGGGAAGCTGAGACAGCTTCTGAAATTAAAAAAGTAAACAAATACATGAGAATAGGGATCAGAATATCAGTAAAGAGAAAATACTATTATAGATGTGGTGTACCCAAAAAAAGAAAACAGTTATCTCCAAAGGCAAAAGAATACATTGGTAACATATTGTAAAAGCAGGTTGGACATCTTATTCATTATCGAGACAAAACAATACAAAAGTAAAAAGCAAAGAGTAAAAAGTAAAAAAGGATATGATATAATAAATACCAATAATAATAAAAGAAGAAAGGAAAAAATTATGTAAAGAAAAAAGAACTTACAAACACAGCAACAACATATAATCCAATAACAAACAATATGAAACATAGCATAAAGCATGCAAGGTCAATCACAACAGAAAATAACAGATACAAGAGGAAAAAAATATCCCTGTTCAGATCTATTTTATCTGAAATCAAGAGGAAGGATGAGAAAATTGAAGATAAAACGGAGAAAGAAAAAGGGTAGAAAGGTCATATTGGACAGGGTGATAATAAACGAACATATTACATCAGGAACAAACTACATTACAGATAAACAAAACACACCCCAAAAAAATTGTTGTAAAGTAAGGTGGAAATCTTGTTTACAATGAAAGATAAATCCCCCAATTCGCTACAGGGAAGAGAAGGATGACAAGTTAATTACACCAGCCAACTAATTTTAAACTTTATCCTTCAAATCTGTCTTTTTCCATGTTAAAATTCAGGAAAAGAACTTCCATCAGAAGAAGTCATAGAGGGGGAATCCAACACCTTTAAATTCCATTTGCTTTTTCCAAGCTGATCATTGGGAGAAGATGAAAAGGCACTACCATCAACATCACAAGCATATTCAACACTTTCTATCTTTCCACAAGCTATTTCATGCCAAAACTCTTTTTCCATGTATGTGCCAGGAAGACTTCCAGCACTACAGTATCTACGAGCAAAAACCTTGTTCGCCATTTTCTCGAAATCACGAAATGTGTAATTTCTGAAAAATCAAAGGTCATACTCAAACCTTGAAGGCATCTGGAGAAAAGTTCATAAGCTCCATTTAGTACAAATACTCACCTCCCACTCATGAAAAAGGTGACCTTGTCGTTAGTATCCCATTCAGCAAGACGAAGGGGTTGTACTCGAGATGTAAACTTAAAACCTACTTTCTCTTTCATCAACACTACACCAGCAGGAACAGAAGCACTCAAAGGGGAAACAATCTTGCATATACCTGAAAATCAGAAGCATTGATTCAATAAGAAATAAAGTCATTCTTCCATTCATGCAAACAAAATAATAACATCAAATTCATACATAAATTATTAATAATAATAATGTGATGAAGGGGGAGCAAATATAAAGAAAAAAGAAAATAGTTACTCAAAACTGGAAGTTAGACTGATGAATTGATAGTTGATCCCAACCACCCAAGAAGCATAATCCCTTCTAAGTAGGTGGCGTGTCCTATTGGACACCATCACTCATCGAGCACTTCTCGAATCCCGACATGTGTTAGACACTTCCAATTTCCAAACATGAGCCCTTCTATTTTTCAGAACTTGTAACAGCGAACTTGAGACTATACTCAATCTCCTGAAGGGCTAAGGAAATTGTATTTTGGATTCCATTCCAAGAGTTCATTTATTTAACCTAACTCAAGCTCTGAAAAGGAAAACATATTTTCTAAAATGAACATTTTCTGAAAACAAATTTTCTAAAATGAAAAACAAAAAACATATTTTTACATTTCCACATTTTTCAGAAAATGAAAACTCTTAAATTGTAACCAAACACAGACGATGATGAGTGCAATCAATTAAATGTTAACACAGCACAGGACGGTGTCACTTTGACTCCAGTAAGTTCAAAATGCTAAAGAGAAAAATAATTTTGGAAGCATGAATCAATCACATGCATAAAAGATTTAAAGGGACATTACCATATCTGGAAGCTTCTGGAGCTATCTTTTGCAGATAAACCAAAGGATCTTCAAACTCCTCTTTACTTGGACAGTAAACAGGACACTCGGGAATTTTTTCAGTCCATTCAAGATCATTTAAGTCAAACTTAGCAACCTTGCGCTTTGAAAAGGCATCCTTCCCATCTGTAGCACCTCCAGATTGAGAAAATGTATCCGCATTACCATGTAATCTCACACCACATGATGCCGAAGCTCTTAAAGCATCTCCTCCACTTCTAGTCATCATGTTAGTGACACATACAGTGTTGGTCAAATTCTCACGTTTAATACGCTGAAGCCTTTTACGCTTCAGAAATTCTAATTTGGCCTCTCGAGACATACAAACCCTACCTTCCACCTGACAAAAATAAACATTAAAAAAAAAAACTCAGATCAGAAAATTAGATTTGAAAGAGATACGACCGTATAAAATTTATTTCAGCATGCCTAATTTAATAACTTCCAAAAAACATATCAACTCAATATTGATCTCAATGAAATGGATCAAAGCAGCTTCACTATGCTATGCGACTGCAGCAACACTTCATCATACTAAAGCCAAACAGATACCATATGAAGGTAGCATTACATTTAAAAAGCCAGCGATGAAGTCATTGGACTGTAGGGAATGACAGAATTAGAAGAATAGATCAAAATGCTCCCAATAGTTTCATACAGAAAACTTGAGAAGAAATCCCCATCAGAGACTTCAGATTGATTCATAGACTTCAACAACAATATATTTTAAATCACCAACAAACAACTGAGAAATTTGATTTTACAAGAAAAATATACATTTTTGCAATCATTTGCATCAGACATATTCCTCTTTCTTTCTTTTTTTCCCCAACAGCTGTGGCTGTTCTAGCACTGTTGTCAACATTGTTTCAGCAATAAATTCGGTTGCAAGTGGCAACAAGATGACAACAAAAAATATGCCAAAATTCACCAGATAGGTGGCCTCCTTTATATACCCAAGCACTTAACATTGTACAAGATATGCATAGACACTTGGGAATAACCAAAGTTTGCTCAACATGTCAACTGATTGCAGCTTGACTTATTATTAATCATAACGCAATTTCCATGGACAAGGAAAAGAAACGGAATTCAATTAGCTTGTCCATGGCTTTTATGCAAGCTTTTGTTTGTGTTTTTTTTGTCTTTAGTAAATTTATTCAATTATTTGTCAATTTTTTTTGTTCTTTCTAGTAAGCTTCTAACAAAATCACTAAAGACACCCACCCCCCTGGGGAAAAAGAAAAAGGGAGAGAGAGACTGATTTTCTACCTAAAGTCTGCCTAGTCACAGAATCAGAGTCGGAGCAATGACCCAATCACAGTGCAATCATATCATGAGGCTGTCAATATCTAGTAGTGAACAATCAACATAGCAACAAATTTTTTTTTCTTTCTGCTAGCAAATCCAGTAAACTAATTGATATGCACTGTTTAACGCCCAAGTCATTGTTTTTAAAGCTTCCATTTATTTTTAATAAATTTTATAACACGTAAAGACAGAATTTAATTTAATTACTCTTAATGAATATCATACTACATATTATATTAGTATAAATTAATTCATATACCATAGCCAAATTGAGGCATTATAGATTTAAATACATCTAGCCCAACATGTTTGTTATAATGCAATGAATAACTTGATATCCTTCTAGAAGACTTGATAGAGGCATCCCGTTTTGAGATAATTTGGTATCCTTCTAGAAGACTTGCCAAAGGGTGCCACTTATCATTGCTTGGTTATGCAACAAGGACGAAGTACAAAGAAACCACTATATATAGTTACTCTTAACATTATTGACAAAAAAGTTAACATGCCACATATATGTTGGTTTCAAAGAGTTTATATGACAAAACATAAAACCCACAACACAAAGTTCCATATTCACTTTGCTTGGTTTGAGTTTTCTAAAAACACTTTTCAGAAAATTTTAAGCTATTTGGTAGAGCTTTTGAAATTTAATTCTACCCATTAGTTTGAGTGTGTTGTTTGGTTATAGCTTTAGAAAAATAATTTCACACCCACTTTTTAAAATATTTTTCAAAACACTCACTTTTCAATATTATATGTCACATCACTCAATTCAAACTCTTTCTAAAATTCATAACCAAACAAATTTTTCACACTCAAATCATAATTCCAAAACTCACAAATTCAAAATACAACTCTATTCTCAAATCATAATTCTAAAGCTCTACCAAACGAAACCTTACTTTCTGGTTTTTCGTATTTTTTTGTTTTTACTAAATTTTTTTAATATTTTAAGTAATTTTTTAAAATTTTTAGACACACCTAACATAAATACACTTAAAAAGTATAATTTTTGTGGAAAAAATCCTTAAAAAATTTACTAAATACCAAAAATACAAAACAAATACGAAAATTCAATACATTGTTCATATTTTTGTGTATTTATTAATTTTTTAAAATATTTTTTCACAAATATTTTACTTTTTAGACACATCTAAGTAAGATGCATCTAGAAAAGTAGAAAAAATACTTAAAATTTTAAAAATATTCACTAAAAACAAAAAAACATGAAAAACAAAAAATTCAATTTTCAAAAAACTTACATATATTTAGTTTGAATTTGTAGAGTGATTTTGGGAAAAAATTTCTAAAAAATTTGTTTGGTTTGTAAATTTTTCAAAACAATTTCCAAAATCACTCTCTCTCTTACCTATCAATCAATCACTTTTTCTCTCTCCTCTCTCCTTCTCAATCACTTTTTCTCTCACACACATCTACTCAATTATAACAAAATATCAAATCATTCCAAACTCCCAAACTCTAAAACTACTTTCAAAATACACAACCAAACAAACTAAAAAAATTTCTAAACTCTCTCCCCAAAACAATTTTTAGAAACTCCTCTCTCAAAACCAAACCAAACATACCAATCCTTCCTATTTTCCCCGCCACATTACAGTGTATTTGGTCCCTTTTTTTAACTTATTCCACTTTTTATAAGAAGATTGGATTTATTGCACCCCTCTCCACCTTTCCCTCCTACCAAACAAAGGAAATTTCTCTTTACCTACCCCCTTTTCCTTCCTCAGTCTTTCCTACCAAATGAAGCATATGATGCCTGTAAACTAATTAACTAGCAAACTTAAACCCATTTAATGGATTTTCCTTTATAGCAGACCAGAGATAGAAAAAAATAACAGCTTCAAATGATGTCTACCAAAAAACTGAGTACGCATGGGCATGGTTACACAAAGAATTAACCATTAAGTTAGAGTCAGAAACTATTATCTGTGTTTTCTAGATAAAACTGGAGTTTTCCAATTGACCACTTCAACTTCTTACATATCAGTGCTTCAGTATAGCTCTAGGAAAATGGATCCAAATTGCACACATATTGTCAAGAAAGTCAAAAATTTTGATCTACCACACACATTTATATTGAAAGCTGACAGTATGTTTTCTCTTTTATTTAATTTTCTTTTTCTTTTTTTCTTTCTAAAGGTGAAGTGCAGCTGAGGTTATTACAGACAATTAAAACCAAATTGAATTTTAATGGAAAAATCAACGTGATAAATGAGGGTCAATCCACTGCCGATACCCAAATCCAAAATCACACCCTTGCCCAAAAACCTAAAAAATAAAATATAAAAATAAAAGGATGACCAGACAGTAGATAGGCCTGGATTGAACCCACTGGCTCTGTTTACTTGAAGATGCAAGCAGTTCCATACTTTCCTTGGTTCCTACCAAATAAATTTACCACTTGTGATTATTTTTCTAAACATCCACTGAAAAGTAATTTCCCCAAAAAAAAAAAAAAAATCCCATTCAAAGATCAGAAAAAATTTCTCAAATCCAAAATCTGTTAAATGCATTGATGAAATCATCAAGTTCAACCGTGAAAAATACTCAAAATCATATTAAAGTACAGATATCTATACAAATACAAATCCATATAGAGAGAGAGAGAGAGAGAGAGCATTGAGGAAATACAAAAATCAGCGACAAAATCAGAAACAATGTTCAGAATCCAAACGCTCGAAACGAAGATAATGCATCAACAGTGAACTGAATCACTTACCATTTCATTCCGAAGTCTTTCTCTGGATGTCTCCGTCTTCTTGAACCAAAAAAAAAAAAGCGCAAACAGCACCAACCGTATCCAACCGCCGAGAACCAAACCCTAGGGCAAAGTGTCGGCCATGAACGATCCCAAACAAGCCTCCACGCTCACCACATTCTCACGAACCACTGCGAAACTCGAGGATCGGACCGATTCCACCAACCAAGTCACCAACTCGGCTCAACACAAAACCAAAACGAATCAATGACAAAGACGGAGACAATGATTTCTCGGAATTCGTTCGCCGGCGAACGAGCGGTCACCGGCGGCGAAGGGAGTGATGTATGCGAGAGGAGAGAGAGAAAAGGTTTTTAGAGAGAGACAGGGAAGAGAAAGAATGGCTTGAGAAACCCAAAAAAGAAGAAACAGAAGATAATTTATAGTTTTATAGCAGCAAAAACTATTTTTTGTAATTTTTTTATTTGTTTTTAGAAATTAATTAATTAATTCGATTGTAAATTGATAGGAGTAGTTTAGTAAATGTTTAAGTAAAGCCTAGGAAAGTGTGAATGAAAGTGGTGGTTGTTAGGTTGGTTCAACCAAACGCCTTGCCGCCCTAAAAGCGCGTTTCGTTTCTGGAAAATTATACTTGCGCAATATACTTATCTTTTTATATCTTTTTTTTTAATTTTATTCATATGTAAAATTATTTTTAAAGATAAAAATTAAATATATTTAATTATTTCTTTACACTTAATATACTTCAATTTCTATTTTTTCTTTCTTTTTTATTTTTTCTTCTCTATTATGCATCTCCTTTTAAAAACTTAGAATCATAATATTTTAATTATAAAAAAAAATTAAAAAAAGAGTAATAGACGAAGAAATTGTAGCGAAAGACTAGCAAAAAAGTGAAATTGTGAGTTTTTCGTCCAGTGCCTCTGATAGTAAATAATTGGATGCACTTTCATCACCCATGTGCTAATGGATGAGAGAAAGCGTATACTATCAGTATTGATTAATTTCATACGCTTTTTAGTCTTGATATACTCCCTCCGTCCCAAAATATTGGTCCCTTTTGGGGAATCCAACTTTTTTTGGTAGTACACTTATTGCATTTGAAAAAAGTTGATTTTCCAAAATTACCCTTTTGATAGTACAGTTTTTGGGAATATCAATGTCATAATTGTACTTTTTAAAGTGTTTATTAATTTAAAAGAAGGGCAAAATAGGAAATTTACATTATTTTTGTACTTGATTTATAAAGAGGGACTAATATTTTGGGACAATGAAAAATGGAATAAGGGACTAATATTTTGGGACGGAGGGAGTAGTAACTACCGAAACTATCAATATAAATGGATTGTAATAACATCTCAATGTGTTTTTTTCTTTTTTTATAAATATTGGTATTGACATATTTTATGAATGTTTTTATAGATTTGTACACTTCATATTTTTTATGGACGTTTGATATTTTAAGGAAAGTGAATCTATAAATGTGCAACAACAGATAACTAGATAAATCTAATTTGTTCGGCAACATAACTCCAAAATAATCTAAATTATTTGGCAATGCATAACTGATCAGGCCCATCATAATTTTTTTTTTTAAATAATGTTTCAAGAAAAGTGAATCTATAAATGCGCGACAACGAATGTCTAGACAAATATAATTTGTTCAATAGTGTGACACCGGAGTAATTCAAAAGAAATAGGTATAATAAGAAAAATCTGTAGGGGTTTTAAAAATGAATTAATTTAGGGTTAATTTTGGTATATAAAGGGTATAATGAGAATTTTTTCTTAATGGTGTGATGAGAGAGTAAAATGATTAATTTACTGAATTTGTTGTCATCCAAATCGCCTGAATTTATACCAATCGGACGACCTCTAGAATGACGCTCGGACAACTGGTTTTACCATCGTCTATTGCAATTGTCACCCTTGTCTACTGCGGTGGTCACCCTGTTATCTGGACAACCAACTGGACAACTGGTCAGTCGACTTGCCGAACGACCGAAATGAACAAATTCAGACAATTCAGACGATACCAAATTCGATGGATTAAGTAAAAAAAGATAAAATTGTGGTGTAAGTAGAATTTTCTCTTTTTTTTATGTTTGTTCTAAACCGTTTCATTTTCATTCCCAAAATGCCCCTCCATAGAAACTAAAACAGTGTTTGGATTCAAATTCTTTTTGGCTAAAGTGAAATAAAAAGAAAAAAATTAAGGTTGTGTTTGATAGAACTTTAAAATTATGATTTGATAATAGAGTTATATTTTGAGATTGTGAGTTTTAGAATTATAATTTGAGCGTGAAAAATTTGTTTGATTATGAGTTTTAAAAAGAGTTTGAATTGAGTGATGTGACTATAATATTAAAGAGTGAGTATTTTAGAAAGTGTTTTGAAAAGTAGGTGTGAAATTAATTTTCTAAAACTGTAACCAAACAACACACTCAAAGGGCATAATTAAACTTCAAAAACTCTATCAAACAATTTTTTATTTGTTTGTTTAGATAGAAAGTCTTAAAAAGTAATGAAAATTTAAATTTATTGTACAACTCAAAATATACAGGAAATTTTATTTTTTCCCACTAATGTTGAGAAGGTTTATTTTGTTTTATTTTTCACTCATGTTTCTCTTCACAACTCCATGTTATGCAATGATTTTATTTTTTGCTCATCATTTTTCTTATAAAAATTTTCATTTATTCAAATACATATAAGAAAATAAATTTTCATTTCTTTTTCTTTTCTTCACTTTACTTTCTACCATTTTCATTTTTTATCATTCATTTTCTTTCTAAACAAGCGGAACCATAGAAATTGATTTTCATTTTTTTTTTAAACATTGTTTTTTAATTAAAAAATAATAATTTTTAACTCATATTTTTAAATTTTTATTAATTTTTTAAAATTTTAAAAAAATTGGATTAACTTAATTTAGATAAACTTAAAAAGTAAATAATTTGTATAGATTTTTTTAAAAAATCAATAAATACTAAAATATTTAGTATTTTTTTATAGAAATACAAATTATATACGTTTTAAGTATATCTAGATTAAGTGGATCTAAAAAAATTTAAAAAATAATTAATTAAAATATTAATAAAATTCATTATAAACAAATATATATATATATAGATTGAAATTTAAAAAAATAAAATAAAATTCCAAACTAAACAAAGTGAATTGTATTTAGAGATATTAATATCCCCATTGCATTGGACCTGTTTGTTACCGCTTGAAAGAGCTTATTATAACTTATTTTAATTTGGAAGTATGACAAATTGTTTGGTCTAACTTGTACTTTTAACTTATTAAATAAGTTGAAAAAATGAATATTTGGAAGTTAGGGGTGAGGGGGATGTTTTTAACGTTTACTTTCTGATTATTAATTTTTTGCTTAAAAGAAGTTGTATCAAAAAGGGCAACTGATAGTTAAAATTAAAACATAAATAAAATGAAACATAAATTCCAATAAACGCCCTGCACAAAACTAAAATAATATTTGGAACCAATAATCGATTTGGAAAGTTTAAAAAAAAAAATTAAAAAAAAAAAGTGGGAACAAAATGTAGCCTTTTTAGTTTAATGCCAAAAACCATTAAGGAGAAAGCTGGAAATTTCAAGTATCACCTCCCCCTTTTCTAATGCAATGGCTACATATGCTAGCAACAATGATTTTTAATTAAACTTTTATGCTTAGTCAACTTCGCTACATAGACAATTACACAAAGATGGGCACGAGATTATTTATCCTTTTGTCTAAATGTAATATGTTGTTATTTATATAAAAATTTCTAACTCAATCTCAATTATTGGATTACTTCTCCATTTTTTTTTTTTTACAAAATTCAATCACTAATAATCTATTAAGACATAGGAACTGAAAAATTTTAAAGACAAAATATATATTAATCAAGAAGATGATTGTTGTAGTTGTTATTTTTAAACTTACATTTTTTTATGTTAGGTGTACAAATATAGGGGTGTTTTAGAAATATGGTTAAAAGTTGATTTTTGGTTTTTAAATAAATTTTTTGACTTTTTCAAAGTCATTTGGAAAGTTAGTAAAAAATTATTTTTTGACTTTTTTACTTAATATTTGTTTATGCTGTCACATCATAATCAAATGACCAAAATACCTCACTTATTTTAGAAAATAATCACTTTCACCGATGTGACTCATTTAAACAACATGGAGAGTATAATTATAATTTCACATGTAATTTTTAGTTACATTCCTAAATGATTTAATGGCAGAAAAGCCACTTTAACTTTTTTAGCTCAAACTGCAAAACCCAATTTTTTTCTTTTATTCCCAAATGACACCATAGTCAACCAATCATGGGGTGTTTGGTCTGGCTTAATTTGAGCAGATTATAGCTTTTGGCTTCTAAAAAGCTATTACAGACTGTTTGGTCTGGCTTAAGGCCAACCACTTGAGCTTTTACAGATTTTTTTCTTACATAAAAAAGTTGAAAATCAGAAGCGGCTTGGAGCAGCTTCGCGGACTGGGATTATGCGGAGGGGTGTCGAAAGTACTTAAATGCCCTTCAATAATTTGAAGTATTACCAAATTGCCATTATATAAACCACAAAATCACTGTTCATCTCTAAGAGAGAGAGAGAGAGAGTGTGGCGATTTCCGGCGTTGTGAACCAGATCCCCCCCTCTCTCTCTCTCTCTCCGATCACGATCTGAAACCATCTGAGAACCAGATCTAAACCAAACCCATCACGATCTGAAACCATCGCGGTGACGATGGACGGCATGGCGATCGACGGCGTGATGATGAAACCCTTCTTCTTCTCCTCTCCAGCGTCACGATCTGAAACCCTTCTTCCCTTCCTCTCTGGCGTCGCGATCTGAAACCCTTCTTCCCTTCCTCTCTGGCGTCGCGATCTGAAACCCTTCTCATCTCCGGCGTCGCGATCGCGATCAACGCTGTCTCTCTCTCTTCGCGATCGCGATCAACGACAAGCTTCTCTCTCTCTCTCTCTTTCTCTCTCTCTCTTTGTGATCAACGATTGCAGAGGGCTGCTGGAGTGTGGGATGAGGAGGAGAAGAAGGGCGTGGCCGGCGGTGGCTAGGGCTGCCGGCGGTAGGTTTGGAATTTGTGATGAATTATTAAATTAAAAAAAATTAACAATTTTTATATTGTAATTAATATTAATTCTAATGAATTAATAATAAATTTAAAAAATTAACAATTTTAATATTATTAATTAATATTAATTGTAATGGATTAATAATAAATTTAAAAAATTAACAATTTTAATATTATTAATTAATATTAATTGTAATGGATTAATAATAAATTTAAAAAATTAACAATTTTAATATTATTAATTAATATTAATTGTAATGGATTAATAATAAATTTAAAAAATTAACAATTTTAATATTATTAATTAATATTAATTGTAATGGATTAATAATAAATTTAAAAAATTAACAATTTTTATATTATTAAATAATAT